AGACTGAAGTGGAGAATGTGTTATTATTATTAAAGGGGAAAACTATACTACTTACCTGAAGTGGAGAATGTGAGAAGAAGGTTACTTCTTTGGTTCCCACTTAGGTACATTTATGTACATGCGGCTTGAGTCACATGACGGGTGCCATGTCATCCTCGGAGGCAGCCGCAGGCATCCGGGTGTCCCCGTGGGGGATCCCGAGAGCGTCCGCTGCATGCGCATGTGCTGGGCACAGCGGGAAGCCGTCCGGGGTGTGTGGGCCGGACGGGTCAATAGTACATCGATACAAAGGAAGGTGGTCCGTGTAGATAGACAGGAATAAACAGGAAGGGGAAGATGAGAAGAATGAAATAAAGAAAGGGGAAAGAAGAGGGAAAAGAAAGGGGAGGAGAGGGAGGAAGGAGGGGGGAGGGGGATAGACAGCGGGGAGCGGGTGTGGTGTGGCCGGGTGGGTCTGGGTGGACCTGGGTCAGGCGGGTGTGCCCTGACAGCCGTGCCCTGACAGCATGTGAGCCCGCGGGAAAAATCACGTGGGTCAAGGTGAGCAACTTGCCTTAACCCATGTGACACCTTTCCCGAGTCGTGGGAACATGCTCAGCTTCTACCTGGAGTCACGTTATGAACTGTACAGTACACTTCCCTTTTATAGTAGCCAAGCAGGGAATAGGGAAACTTACCCTTCTTCTCAACTCAATCCCCGCTTAGGCAAGTTGTAGTTACCCTCTGTAATACATGACAACTCAATCCCCACTTAGTCCCTTCAGGAGCTGAGGACAGGGTCTAGCGCCCAACCACCTGGAACACCGCACACACCTAGGCCTGAGGTCGGGCTGTCCCTGATCGAGGACCGAGCCCTGACAATGGGGGAAGAACCATGGCTGGAGCAGTGCCAGTGACATTGCATCATGCAGTGCAAATGCAATGGAACAAGCTGGCTTTGCATAGGCACTGCAAAAAGACAGGGAATATGATTCTGAGCAGAGGATATTAAAATAGGAGCTATTATGCATAAACTCAGTCTCCATATGGAGAACTAATATTATTGTTTTTTTTTACCTATTACACATCAACTATAACATGAAAGTACAATGAGTTATATGCAAACATAGCAAGAAGGAAATGGTATCACCTCAGTCTCAATATGGAGAACTGAGGGAGGGGGAAAAATTATGGCGTTCAGCATAACTTATACGACTGGCACCAATATCACTTAAAGCGATTGCAAGTGACAACTGGTGATGTAAGACAAAAGAAATTGAGAGCACATGGTATCACAACTTTGAAACAAAAAGGATATAATCATTGTTAGCCATGATGATATTAAACTCTCCTCGCTGCAGCTGGGCATGTTGATATTCCAACAGAGGACAGGATAGGAGAGTGGGAACTTAGGTTGAAGGAGCAGTGGGCATTAGCATGCCACATTGACACCAGAATGGGGCATGAGAAGTGGTTAGTATCCAGGCCGATTGGAAGGAGGGGCAGTACAGGAGATGAGATACCTGCCAAGCTGCATACTAGTAAATTTGGTGGAGGAGAGATGGAAAACTTGGGAGCAAATACAATACTGCTCTTTCCAGTGGTGCAGATGATAGACTTGTTCATGGGTGAAGGTGGCCTGATGGAAAATAACAGTGGACTTCCCATATGCATTTACAGACTACAGTGCTCAAGGACAAATGATGGAATACTTGTGGCAGACATCGGAACACCATCAAGGGGAGCGTTGACACCATCTAGCACATACATAACACCACTATCACATGTAAGAGGATTGGGAAGGAGGACAAAAGGAGAGTGGGAGCAGACAATGGTGGGGGTGTAGTGCAGAATGGAGAAAGTAGACATGTGGAAAGGATCTGGCGAAGATGTAATGAGAATTGAGTAATAAGGGGAAAGAAGATGACATAATTTCAGCATCGAAATTTCACTAATATTGCCATGGTGAGGAGACTCTTTGGCAGCAACTGTTCTGAGAAAGGAAACACACATAGATCACAAGCACTGCTAGACTCAACATCACCAATTGTGAGTTGGCCTCAGCGTCATCCTGGTTCAGTACAACAGAGGAGGGTGGAGACCATGTGGTGAAGTTAACCTACAAGTTCTCATTTTTATGTTCAGGTGGCACCAACAGTTATTGTGACAAAGTTTGTGTCACAACTGTGACAAAAGCGGTGATGCACAGGGGGAACAGAAATGTATCTGTGATGGCTTTTTGTCACAATTGTTGTGACACAAGCAGTGATTGCATACTCTGTTTCTCCAGGGGGGAACAGAAATGCAGTGACAACTTGTGTCACAAAAATTGTGACCCAACCAGTGATGCATACTCTGAAGGGATCTGTGTGCTTTTGTCAGCTTGAGGAAAGCCTATTGCAATAGAAAGAGTGTCGGCACCTCCAAGAGGAACAGAAGTGCATCTGTCACAAAGTTTTGTCACAAGATTGTGACACAAACGATGATGCATACTCTGTTCCTCCAAGGGGAACAGAAATGCAGTGACAACTTGTGTCACAATTTTTGTGACACAAGCAGTGATGCACACTCTGTTCCTCCAGGGGGAACAGAAATGCAGTGACAACTTGTGTCACAATTTTTGTGACACAAGCAGTGATGCACACTCTGTTCCTCCAGGGGGAACAGAAAATGCAGTGACAACTTGTGTCACAATTTTTGTGACTCAACCGGTGATGCATACTCTGTTCCTCTAGGGGGAACAGAATGCCTCTGTGACAATATTTTGTTACAATATTGTGACACAAGCGGTGGTGCACACTCTGTTCCTCTAGGGGGAACAGAAGTGCATCTGTGACGACTTTTTGTCACAATTTTTGTGACACAAGCGGTGATGCATACTCTGTTCCTCCAAGGGGAACAGAAATGTGGTGACAACTTGTGTCACAATGTTTGTGACCCAACTGGTTGATGCATACTCTGTTCCTCTAGGGGGAACAGAATGCCTCTGTGACAACGTTTTGTTACAATATTGTGACACAAGCAGTGATGCATACTCTGTTCCTCCAGGGGGAACAGAATTGCATCTGTGACAACATTTTTGTTACAATATTGTGACACAAAGCGGTGATGCACACTCTGTTCCTCTAGGGGGAACAGAAATGTGTGTCAAAGTTCTGTCACAATGATTTTGTGACACAAATGGTGATGCATACTCTGTTCCTCCAGGGGGAACAGAAAATGTAGTGACAACTTGTGTCACTATTTTTGTGACCCAAGTGGTGATGCATACTCTGTCCCTTTAAACAGCAAGCAACAGAAAAAACCGCACACCTAATTTGGATGAATACTATTCAATATAATTCTGAATGTATTGGAAACAGCACTGATTGACAATGTAGGAAAATAATGAGTGCTAATCACCTCATCCCAATGGCACACTCTTAAGTTTCCACTATGCTTTCATCAGCTTGAGGAAAGCCTATTGTAATGGAAGGAGTGTTGGCACCTCCAGGAGGAACAGAAATACAGTGACAACTTGAGTCACAATTTTTGTGACACAACAAGCAGTGATGCACACTCTGTTCCTCCAGGGGGAACAAAAATGCAGTGACAACTTGTGTCACAATTTTTGTGACTCAACCGGTGATGCATACTCTGTTCCTCTAGGGGGAACAGAATGCCTCTGTGACAATATTTTGTTTCAATATTGTGACACAAGTGGTGATGCACACTCTGTTCCTCTAGGGGGAACAGAATGCCTCTGTGACAACATTTTGTTACAATATTGTGACACAAGTGGTGATGCACACTCTGTTCCTCCAGGGGGTACAAAAATGTGCAAGCCAAAGTAAAACTTGCTAGGGTGCCCTACTGCTTGATGCCCTAGTGCTAGGGCAAGCTGAACCTGGTCCCTAGGAATTTTTTGACCCTAGGGCAGGATGACCCAGGTTAGGGCTAGGGATCCTGCCCTAGGGATTTTTCAAACCCTGGAACCCTAGGCCCCCTCTTAACCAAGCCAAGAAATGGAGGCTAATCATGAATTGGCCATTAGGCCAAGACACCACTAATGCTCCCCCAGGACTTAATTTGTAAATATGCTTCTAGAAACATTACAAATATGGAAAATCTGGAATCAGATTTGCGGAACTAATTTTATGATTTTCGAGAAATTTTTCAGCGCACGTGCCTGTGCATGTGACTTTTATCCGTTCTAAGGGGGGTTGTTAGGTTTACTGACCCCCAACATGTGGGAAAGTAGAAGTTCCCACGAATCGTGTATGCGAAAGAGACCTTGCAAGCAAGGTAACAGTGTCTGTCACTTGACCATTTGACCAGGTGATCTGATAAACCCTGCCCCATGCTGCAGGCACCCCTGAAGCGGAATCATGGTGCCAACTCTTCATTGTCTATCAACTGCTATCATGGGAAGCTACAATGATGAATGGGGTGTTGACACAGTGGTCCGAGCGGAGCGCGGCCGGACTGGGATATATGGGAATGATTAGCGAGGGGAATAATGTGGGCGGGGCGATATGCGGATCATGAATGGTGACGGGCAAGGGGTCCGCGCATAAACATGCCATTAGCCTCCGGGTATTCCTATCTTGGTGGCGCGCTGATCTCCGATGACTCTCCCAAACGGAGCTAGTCCATTCGGAACAAACTTGATACGTACAACACAGCACAGCCCTTGATGGCAAGATCAGCTCTCATCGCCTTCAGAGAATTGGGCCAGCAATTGGATTCATATCCACGATTTACTGCAGTACAAGTGCCTCATCCACAACCAGGACGGCTGGAAGGATCATTCTCTGGTCGCACCACAGCGCTACAGTTAAAGACATCTAGGCTGTTCATATCTCTGCCACGCTCATATAATATAGGCATGGTCTCTGATTTTTCTCTACTGTCACGCGAATCTAATCATCCTATAAATGCACAGCACACTCCCTTGTATGTCTTTTCTCGGTCTCTCGCTCCCTTGCGGGCTCTTCACCCATTTCCCCCTTTGAAGCGTCAATAAACGAGAGCGCTTCGTCATGGCAAACCAGCTCAGAGAGTTCACACTAGAGGAAGTTTCGAAGGTGAAAGCAAACCACCTGCGCCAGCCATCAAACACTTACTGATGATATTGTGCTGTCGCCTTGTGTCTTGCCCTTAGCATAATGCGGAGAAAGACTTGTGGATCGTGATCAATTCCAAGGTCTATGACCTCAGCAAGTTCGCAAACATGCATCCTGGCGGGAGTGGCGTCTTGTATGATTCACAAGTCGGTGAGATTGCCGTTCCCCACACGTTAAATTGCAACCGCTCCAACACCGTTCTGATCGTTTCCCATGTCTCGGACCTCGCTTGCACTCCTGGCGTTTATTCCATCCCATTACCACTGGCATTGTCTGTACAACTAATCGAATCAAATAAAAACCGGGGATATCATCCAGCCGGAAAAGACGTAACGGACCTCTTCTTCTCTCTTCACCGACAAGAAGTCCTCGCCAAATCCGCCTACCAACGACTCATCATTGGCACTGTCAAAGGCCAGCAGCAGCGTATTATTCCTCGTCAGCCGGGTGATATTAAACGTATCCCGTATTCGGTGAGTTTCGATCTTTCCGTCCTTGGCACTTTCGCACCGATCCACTTTCCCGCGCTCTTTCCTAACTGACAATCATTTCTTGTCAGGAAGCCAACTGGCTTGCCGCAGGTTTCTTCTCACCCTATTTCAAAGAGGCACGGTTTTCATCTTGCACGTGCACCACCATATCTGACGTGCCTTTCGTCGAATTCTCCTTTACCTGACAGTCCCACCGTAAATTCCTTCATGTCGCCCGCAAGTTCGCCGAAGAGGTAGTCTTCCCAGATGGTGAGGTCAATGACCCACTAGGTCGTATGCCCTCCCCTTCAGTCATCCAAGCCATGGCAAAGAACAACATAATCGCAATGAGAATTGGCCCGGGCCCTCATTTGAAAGGACGTCAACTGTTCGGAGGGCTCATTACACCGGAAGAATTTGATTATTTCCATGAGATGATTTTACATCAGGAGATGTCGAATGCAGCGACGAGGGGTTATAATGATGGGTTGTTGGGTGGAGGCGTTATTGGACTACCTGCCTTGGTTTATTACGGAAGTGAGAGTTTGAAGGCCAAATATTTGGCTGATATTTTGGATGGGAAGAAGGTGAGTCTGTGCTTTGCCGTTTGTTGTCATTGCGACCCGTTGTCGTCCAATTCTGCCTGCAGCATATTTGCCTCGCTATCTCAGAGGCGTTTGCCGGTAGTGATGTCGCCGGTTTGCGCACGACTGCCAAGAGGACCCCTGATGGAAAGTATTTTATCGTCACGGGCACCAAAAAGTATGTTTTGCGCTACTTTCGCTTTGCAAACACACAGGTTAACTGACGTAAAACAATGATGCGCCGCAGGTGGATCACGAACGGACACTTCGCAGATTGGTTCGTTACCCCTTGCAGGACCGAGGCAAGCCATTCCTGTTTATACTCGACACGCCAGGGCTTAATGTTAATATACTCCAACAGAAAGGCCTCACTGTACTCCTAATACCGCGAACTGAGGAAGTAACAACCAAACTCATCAAAACAGCCTACTCCTCCGCAGCGGGGACGGCTCACGTTTTCTTCGATGGCGTTAAAGTCCCTGTCGAAAACGTTCTCGGGCTAGAGAACGGTGGTCTTGTCGTCATTCTGGCCAATTTCAACCATGAACGCTGGATGATGACCGCTATAACCGTTAAGATTATGAGGATTGTTGTGGAGGAGACGTTCCAGTGGGCCCACCAGCGAATTGTGTTCGGAAAGCCGTTATCAGAGCAAGCAGTAGTGCGAAATAAGTACGTACCGGTTGAGCCGTGTTCCTTGTTCCGTTCAAGGCTCAGGAAATCCCTTTGCTTACGATGCGATTCAGATTAGCGGGGATGATTGCACGTGTGGAGACCTCTCAAGCGTGGCTAGAGAACATCACTTATCAGATGAACCATATGGTCAGTCTTGGCTTTCACCCACCGAATCGCTGGCCTAACCTTAACACTTTCAAACCCACCGTCGGGCTGTGTGCCGTTCGCCAAACAGCCATGGAAGGATCAAGCCAAGTATCTCGCGGGTCCAATCGGTCTCATGAAGATGCAGACCACTCGTTCGGCACAACAAATCGCTACCGATGCAGTGCAAATCTTTGGTGGCCGAGGTACGTACTTGGTTGCGTGTCTGCGCATTCCGATGTATGATTCGTCCTAGGCATTACCAAGACCGGGCTTGGGCGCATCATTGAGGGTTTCCACCGTACTGTTCCCTTCGATGCTATTCTTGGAGGAGGTGAGTCCAGTTTCTTGTATTTCCGCCCTCTCTCACTGAGCCGATCACCATCTCCAATCAGCTGAGGATGTCCTTGGAGATCTAGGAGTTCGGCAAGCCATGAAATATTTCCCAAAAAATACTCGGCTGTAGACTATCCGTACATATCAAACTGATCCAAAAGCAACAGTTTTGAAAAACTGCCGTGAGGCCAAGAGGATGATGGATGTAATGAAGGACTTGCAGGCAATACTTCGTTTTAGAGCCGATCTTACTTTGCGCTGCTGTCTTTGTAATTAACGACTGAGATAGAATATATGCGCTGCACACAAAATCAATATTGCGGAATTGGTGACGTTGCAATTCATTCCAACCAGATGTTGTACAATAAGTGGCAGGTCATAAAGTTGGGGACTCTAAAAAACGACACGGAGAATGGATGGATGGAGCCATGATGAATGGGGCCAGCGCAACAGCGCAGCCCGAAGAATGCTATAGCTACAGCAATTTCCTTCCCTGAATGTCTTTAGTGTCCATCCAGAACTCCAAGGCTCTCAAAAGTAGCGCTAATTGCCTTCCTACTACTCAAACTTTTTAATGTAGTCATTGCCTTGCACAACGAGAGACGGTCATGATCTCGGATAATTTCTTGCAGTTTTTCCGTTATGGCAGTATTAACATGATTGAGTTCGTCATAGGCGCTCTTGACGTCTCGTTCGGCCGCATCATATTGGGAGTTCAGTTCCAGAAGACAATTGTAGTGATCGATGCTACAAAGCAGTCATTCGTGCTGTTCAAGACAAGAATGTGAGTTACGGACGATACGGTCAGACAGTGCCGTAAGTCCTCTTGAATCTCCTCAAGTATCTCACTCCTAGCTATAAGCACACTTTGCCTGATACCTTGGAACTGGCGCCGCTTGGCTTCCACGACGCGCTGTGATTTGAAGTGAGCGATATACATAGTGTCAAGAAAAGGCACGGCATACATCGCAAATTTGGTTCAAGATCTGTCACGAAAATCAGTCGGTGTCGAGAGGAAGGAAAAGGACTAAATGCACAGAGGTTACACTCAACGCCCAATTTTCGTCATTGTCGGCCAAAGTGCCCGAAAACCCTTTGGTAGACTTGGAAGCTTTTGGCATGGATCGAAGAACGCTCTCATCGCTATGCTTGTTTGACAAATTCGGATCTACAGCCAGATAAGAGTGGCATTACATTCGGATTGGGTCATGATGTACTCAGCGGTTTCAGACTCGAGGTAACAGCCATAGTAGCCTTTATGGGTGAGTGGAGAGTAGTACTGTTAGCAAAGGACACGGAATATTGTGAACGGGGCGCCGCTCGTGCTTTGAGCTGTGTAGGATGACTGTGAGTGTTATAGCATTTAGGAGCCCCTGGATAGGTGCGGACCGCAGATTTGATGGGAATGGGTGTTACCCCGCTCTCGGAGAGAGACCAGCCACCAGGTTGGTGCTCTAGATCAGGTGGCCCAACTTCATACGACCAGTCAACCGCACGAACTGCAGTTTCCCTTGTGATCCCTTGGACAGCGCTCACTCGACGACTTGTTTCAAGCTTAAGTTTGTTAGTGGGGCGAAAAATGACAGATTAGAAAACGAACCATCCGTTTTGGAGATGTGCAAACTGGAAGAAACAGCGAGGAGTTTAGGAGTTCATCAGCGGGAGGGTTTTTGTTCTTGTGATTGGTGCCAAGGTAGTCACGACGATAAGAAGCGCTGTAGCGGGTGAGTCAACTTACCCAAAGTCCCCCCTTATTCGACGATGTATTGTGAGTGGGATCCCAGACGGCCATCGCGGCAGATAAAGATCGCGTAGGTTCTCCAGGGGTTTCTTTGCCAATATCGAAACTCTTGAATACGATGGAAGCGGTTACTGCTGTTCGAATCGATTAATGGACTTACGGTGCTACGTTTAGTCGAGCGGGAAACGTGCAACTCGGATCGATCTCGTTCCGAGACAGTCTTCGCTGGAGCTGGGGATCGTGGCATAGTAGGTTTCCGATGGCTTAGCGGAGCACTAGTTTCGAGAGCCTGCCCAATTCTTCAGGCGTTCGAGCAGCATCAGTAGAAAGTGGAAAGTATACTTCGTTCAAGTCCACTGAACCTGAAATTGGCTCAATTCTTGCAGGGCCAGCTTTGCTATCCTTGATTGCCCCGTCCATCAAACCAACTTGCGGCGCTGCATAGCGTGGCTCGGGAGGGAGTCGGATATCAAACTTATTGGGTGGGTCAGATGAAGGGAAGTTTGGCTGCTCCCAAGGAGCCTTTTTATTTTTCCTCTTCTTAGAAACCTCAGGAGTGCCGTCGTTGCCGTCGATCTGCACTTTATGGTTACCGACTCATCTGAAAGTGAGAAGTTTCTGCATACAAGACTGTCCTCGACCTTCACATGAATTGTGTGAGTTTTCCCGCTTGGACCTTCTGAGACACCGGTTTGCTTCGAAAAGAGATGTGATGTAATACTGGTTCCCAGGGAATAGACCGGCTCGCTATGCTCCAATGCGCTCTCAGTCATGGCGAAGCTCGCCGACTTTGGAGGGGAGTCAGCTCTCGGTGTTATGACCTTCGGATCATTGGTTCCTGGAGTATCTTCGCTGCCATCTTCGTTGATCATGTTTGATACGCGACCCCTTCTCGTGGGAGGGATTGTAACGCCTTCGGCTTCCCTGAGAATGTCGTCTGTTTCCGGGATAATGGGCGATGTATGAGGCGAACTGCGAGGGTGCTTTGCAAGTGGAGTGGGCCTAGGTCGCCGATTTAGCTCCGGTTGGGAAGCCAAGACAATGCCGAAGTCAGTAGATAGCTGGTCAGAGAGTGCGGGAGGGGCTGGGAGACGACCTCGCTTTTTGTTTGAGCTCTTGTGAATCTTCTGGCCCGAGCGTGAAGTAGATGGAGAAAAGGTAACAGGCTTGGACTTCGGGGAAGTGCCAGAAGGCCTCTTCGGGGACTCAAGTCGTCGTCTTTTAGCAGACGTTTTCTCATCCCCCACGCCAGTGGGACGTTTGCGGGTCACTTCCAAAGTAGAATTAGCGGGCCGAGAGTTTTGAGACACCCTCGAACCATTACTTGACCTGGTAGCTGTTGTTCGGGATCGTGATGCCGGAGAAGGTGAGAAAGGCGGTAGGATCCCCTCGTTTTGGGGCACAAGATCAGCTCCATCGTGCGAAAGTGATCTGAGAGGCTTAGACGACTTTTTGCCCTCAGCAAAAGTGGATTCCACAGCTGATGGGAAAGGATCAAATTTAGTGATACCCTGAAAAGATTTGTCGTTTTCTGAGTGGTCATCAATTGGGGAAGAAACCACCCCTTAAAGCACATGAGAACGCCTCCCCCCCCAGTAAAGGTCATGAAGCTTACTAGCCATCTCGCTCTCTTTAACCTGAATGTTTTATCAAAATCTGGTGTCTACGCTAGATAGCATGAGTATTACTGGCCTTTGAGCTTGCATGGCCGGAGGCTTGGGTTTTCGGGCCAATTAGGTCAATGGGTGCTGCAGTTTGGGATGCGCGTGGATGTTTGCCGGCAGACACAGGAGTACTGGAGTCAAAAATTTTAGATTGCTATGAATTTATGTTAATATAGAAAGCCGAAAGGCCACATGAGTAACGTCTGACCATCCCATGAGCAGCTAAGGCGAGACGGAGGGGTGCATTTTCGGCGAATTTTGTATCGAAAAATAGGGAGAGTGACTGGTTTGGCTGTTCTAGCGGTCGGTATTGTAAAAGCGGGGGAGTGTGTAGGGTTATCAAGACCCTCAGTCCTTCCAGAGCTGTAGATCAGATCAGATCAGAATGTGTAGACATTCTCCTTCAGGGACGTCAAAGGCACAGTTACGAATAAAATGGATAGCTTGAATCGACTCGAACACGACGATAAGCGTTTCAACCCCTTCCTCCTAAATAATCATAAATGAATAGATGTGCACAATCCTGTTTCAAGCTCACCTCTGAGCCAACATTGGCAATTATTCCAATCTTATCAATAAAGACATAACATAAATTGGGTTGAATGAAAGCGATGCCATTGGCAGTGATGTTCTTCGCTTCGAAAGCTTGTGGCCTGCAAGGACGGTCTAACTAGTCGCACGGAGTTGATATTGGAATTTACGTGCCTCCTTTGATCGCGCGCTCCCATCAGTCGAATCAGTTGCAAACCATCCTTATTGAGTGATGATTTAGCTATTAGGGTTGAAGAACAAAGCTTCGTGTTTACCTCAGCTATGCTCTCCCCTTTGGTGTTGTCAAAAATACGACCAAGTTCGATCGAAGTGCTTTCGCCAAATGCTTTCTCAACTGAATCATGATGGAATATCCCTTGAATGAACTCATTGCGCTCCTTTTTATGATTGATAGAAGGGACAAGCCGGGCCATCAACTCCAGTAGGGGATCCATAACAACATACTCTAAAAAGTGAGACGTTCAAGCACAGTGAAGCACATCCATATGCACCGCATACCATTCGTGAGCGAGAGAACTTTTGCGAGATCGGCTCTGAGGATTGGTCCCATCAGTACACTGTAAATAACCAGCGTTGAGGAGACGCGCACGTGGATAATATACTGCGATTTGTAAGTATACTCTTGTTCTTGGGACAACCTCGAGACGTGTCTACCAGGAATCCAAGTAACTAAGAAGCAAGTTAGTGCTAAATCGCAAAGCCTGAAACTGTCCTTTGCCTGATTCTTCAAGGCATAGTCTAATGATGTCCATACCCCAGACTTGAGGATGTTCAAGAACGCAGGGTAAGTACAGATTCCAACGGCGTCCCTGTCTATGACTTCAGCGCGTAAGTAAGGACAGCTATCTCTATCGCAACTACCCACCAGCTGACGACGACTCGACATAATCCTGGTGATTGTGAGCGAAGTACTGGGAAGGGACGGGAAGCGCCTACAAGTATGCCAGAGAGTATCCCTCGATCAATGATTTGTTGCCATCGAACGATCTCAGTATCAAGTAAATTGTGACCTTCCCTCATTCTTTTCGGTAGCTTGTCGCGCACTTTACGCTCAAAGATATAGTTCGCTGAGGCTGCAGCCACACTCAGAGCTTCTGCAGGCGCTAGTTCATAGAAAGGTGCAATGTGGTTCTTAAATGCATCTACGAGGCTGTCCTCGAGCTCTTCTGACAACCTGATGCCTTTTCCAGAGATCTGTATCAAGAAAAACGCGTCTGAGAGCGCGTTCTCGGACCGCGTATGATGACAACAATACCAAAGTCTTGACAGTGTCGAAAAGCAGGCGAATATTTGTAGCATCATGAACACTAGACTTTGATATCTTTTCGAGTTTCGCAAGGGCTTGTGTGACCTTCTTGGTAGACATTTACCTAGCGTGAGGCAGAGTAGAAATCCGGTTTTGTTTTGTTTATTATTTATGTAACCTTACACGTGAGACGGTGACATCTAACTTATACTAATAGCGCGGGTCCAGCCGAACGACTGTTTCTCGCCCTCTGATTGGCTCAAGCCTGGTTGTAACCTTAACCCGAGTTGGGTCGGTTCCGACGCTCCCCGACATTGCTCATTTGACATCCATTCGCACTTTGGCTGTGTTCCCAACTGCCAGGTTATACCACTGCGATGGCACTGCGACGGCACACACACTGCACGCCCTGGAACCGTTCAATGTACAGAGTCTCAGCCGCGCTGCGAGCGACCACTTATGCAAGTGCCAGACCCCGCCGGTCTTCGTCTGTCAATCATTCCGTGGCTTAGCGCACTTTGGCTGCTTGACGTGACCTCGCGTCAGAAGCAAATCTCGCCCCTCAACAATGACTCAGGCAGCCGTCAGACTGCTGGTACATGGAATTTCTTTTATCATCGAGGTTCACACTTCATCCTTGACTCAAGTTCGGACGACGCAAACGCACTAACTGTATCATTCGATCCAACGCACTGACCTACGTTTATTACAATCTGATGGCTCACGTCATGAATTACAACATCGCGACGCCATCCACGCTATCTGATCACCGAATACCCCGCTGACACAATGCAACCTCCTGTGAATATGAACTTTACCTGCACTGCAGGTCACTCTGGCTGCTTCATAATTATGTAAAATCTGCCACTTTTGCTTACGTGTACTTTTCTGCATTGCATTACTTTCGTCAAACAAGCGCCCTCCACAACAGCACATTCTACTTCGCTCTTAGTAATGGACATCAGTCATTGGAACCAAAGTGTCAACGAAACACCAACCAACTCCTTTCCAGCCCGATATCGGGACGCAAATGTGTCGAGTTGGTACTGAGAATCTGATATGCATCTCTGAAGATCTGGGACCAAACGCGCCGTCTCTCGGTATTCTTCCACCTTGCTTCTAGTTGACTTGTCAGTATAAATACTTACTATAGACAAAATATGAAGTACCCCGATCTAAGAGTTCTGCCACTTCATGCGATCCTCTCCAGATCCTCGCCCTTGTCGGCAGGTAGATCTCGGTGTTCGTCAGAAGGTAACTCAAAGGGATATGATCTCTCTTAAAACAGCGTTCCAAACATGGCAACCAGTCTCTCAGCGGTAGGGCTCCTGATAAGTCGGATTCGGATCGGATTGGCATTGAGTTTTCTTCAGATCTTGAGGGCATTGGCATGGATTGAAATGTTTCACAGCCAAGCCCACTCAAACCCTGCCAATCTGGGGCGAATCCAATGCCGATCCGATCCAAATCAGGGACCCTGCTCAGCGGTTTCAGACGTGAGGGAGAATATAACTATTAAATGTACATACGGCGCTGAAGCACCCATATTTCCATGCGCAGGCTCCATAGAATCTTCTGACTCAACATCCTGGCTCCTTCCATATTTGATGGAATAACGGTCCAACGTCACCGATCCAAGACGGGGTGGGACCGACCTTTCACTTTTATTCCGTCACTCGCTTTATTCTCATCTATCGCTTTGGCCACTTGTCTGTTTTGCCTTTGAACTACTATGTATGCGACGGTATATAAAAGACAACACGCTAGGTCAGAGAGCACGACACCCAACAACGACTCCAATATCGTGCTCAGACAGCAAGCCAATTTTTGTTGGCTTGCTGTAATACCGGCCGTTTGGAAAGGATATAATAACAAAAGACTCGCAAGCTCGGCCAATAATTATTGGCCTAGGGAGGCATGACCAGTACTAGTGCGAAGTTGTACAAGGTGACTCAAACATAGGAACATATGTGAAATGTTTAGAGGGACGTCCACGCCGTTCAATGTAATTCCACGCAAGTACTCCAATGCTTTGACTTCAAGTTGGTTCTGGGTGCTCCAGTCTATTCCAGTATCGGTTCCATTCATTTTGCATGCGGCGCTTATTTAAATTCTGTATAAACGCTGATCCCTTCGGAAGGAGATTATGTAATGTGCCTTGCTTTGCCAGTGAATCAGCAAGGTCATCCTCGAACGAAATTCCATCGCGTGTTCCTTGGTCGAAACAAAACCTCAAGTTGAAGCTCTATTATTGAGAACCACTAGGTCGTAGATCTCACGGCGCTTATGTCTCTAGCAGTTCGGCAATTATTTGGCGGGGCCATCACTACTGAAGCTTTTATCGAGGCGTTCCAATTTGATTTCACCAGGTTCCACCTCGATTCGCTAGTGTATGACAATGATAATAAATCTATAGATTAGATAATACCTACGAGCATACTCTCGACTCAGGACTCACGGCATCCAGCTCCGATCCTCAGTGGGACCTAGTGGACTAAAAAAATGATGTCCTAATCATTTTGGCTCCCTGGACAAATACGACGTCGATAGACTGCTAAGCTGTAATCTGAAGACCGACTGAAACTAAAATCGTAGGAGCGGAGGTAAACGTAGAAGAGGCGAAATCCACGTAGTTGGATCATTCAAGATAGTTGATTTTGGCTTGTTCTGGGGCGAGAACGGACGTTAGGTCCCAAAGAAATTCCGCTAGGGGACACCCTATCTTTCATATGCCGAAGATGTAATGTAATGTACGGTCTTCCGTGGAGCAACTCGCAAAATCTGGATTAATCCACGCCAGAGAAAGCTAATATCGGAGAATAAGTTGAAAAAAAAAGCGGGAACAACAATTCACGGAACGGACTAAAACCGAAGGCGTACGGGGTGTTTGCAACCCCATGGATACAAGGATTAAGCCGCCCCGACGCCCTGCTGTGATGAAGGCGTAGTCGGCATAGAGATATTGGAGTTCCATACATAACTACCTGTAGCAGGACTCCCCGGCGTCCCAGGTGTTTGACTTCCAGGTGTTGCCGTCCCATTGATCCTCCTCATATGAACAGGCAAAGCTGTAGCACTGGGGAGGACCCCTCCGGTACCAACAGCTGTGGCCCCTCCGGAAGCCCCGCCAGAGGGTGCCGGGCTGCTTGATGCATAACCCCAGCCACTCAATGACTTTGTAGCTAAATTCGGGAGCGCTCTTCCCCCTGCAGTGGCATTAGGGGGTGGGGTATAGTGCGGCGTTGCACTGACAGCGCCTGTTGTAGTGGCGTATCCCGCATAGCCATAGTACCCGCTCTGGCTGTAATGAGGCGAATAATACCCTTGACGGTAGTACTGCATTGTTGTTCCTCCTTGGGCATGGGGGGTTTGGGCGTTAGCAGTGGCAGCAGCAGGGCGGTGGTAGGAGTAGGCGAGTTGGGTTGGCGCCCGATTTGCTCCTGCTGCAGGAAATCCACCCTGCATCGTCGCCGGTGTCGGGGGCAAGGTTTGAGTTGGGTTGGATGTGGAGCCCGTGATGGGAGGTGGGACGGGGAGGGCGGAGGATCGGATAGTTGTGTTGTCGATGAGGGCATAATCACGGTTGATTAAAAGAGTGCCTTTGTATCCTGGCACTGGTTCGCGAGGAAGAGTTTTGTGAATTGTGTGCAAGACATTAGGCGGTGGTATAATGGAATAGAGGGAGGACGTGGAGGCACGCGGGCGGAGCGAAGCGATGGTTGTCAGAGATGACAGAATTTGGCGTGCTATAGGAAGATCAAGGTAGATAAGCAGATATTGGGCATAACCGGACCGAGCATACCAAGATGCCATTCCTCTCCATCGATCTCGACTGGAACCTCCTTACCAGGGGCCCCAGCCCTGAGTCTCCTTTCCTGCAATACTTGCAAATCTCCCAAGGCATTGGAAATCCTTATCAGCAACTCCCCAACACCTCTCTCTAGTTCCATTTGATCTACGCTTATCAAGAAGTCTTCCACGACGTCCTCAGGGAGCATCTCCCTCGCCAGTCCCCTTAACTCTGCTTTCGTCGATTTGCACTCATACACCAGTTTGCGAGTCGATCGATCCTCCAAGCCAAGCGCGGACAGTTCCTGGACATGAGGGAATGGTTCAATTGAAGGCAAAGGCTTCTCCTTCAGGTTCGCCAGTTCCACCTGCCTCCTCACTGCCCCCAACCGCCTAGCTTTCCTAGCCCCTTTCATTTCTAGCACTAGCCCGAGAGTATCTCGTCCGATTTGGCCGCCATCGGAGTCGAAGGCGGGGGCGAGGGAAGCGAATGGTCCGTAGTCGAGGAATGAGGCGGAAGAGATGGGGACAGGCGCCTTGCGGAGTGAATACGGGCGACGAGGGTGATTCGCTACTCCTGGGGCGTAGTCACCAAGCTTAGGAAGGCTGGGGGGCAGCACGGGAACAGTGGGGAGGACGGCAGTTAGAGACGCTTGACCTGGTCAACGAGATCGCTTAAAGCAGTCGGGTAGAACACATGGTGGAACACAGACCTTTTGCCAGCAAAGTAATTTCCTTCTTAGTAAGGACGGTCGCAGAAGTGAAAAAATCGCCAGTAGGAAGGTGCTGATGCAGCGCATACTGAATGTGCTTCTCGCGATATTGCAGGGATTCCTCGGTCTTGTTCTCACTTTTGGTGGCCGTAGTCTTTGTGTCCTCATCTGGTTCATCGTCTTTTGGTGATATCACCGCATCGTCGAGAAACTTCACGGCAGACGATCTCTGAGCAATATCCTGGAGCAGCATCTGAGCAAGCCGGAAGAACTTGACCACAGCAGGTCTAACAGGCCAAGTTCGAGAATCAGGGACAGGTGCTTCATGCCGGATGCGATCCAAAAGTGCACGGAGGGAGACGGACGAAGGCTCTTCCAACAGCTTGCGCAACGTACTTGTCATACCCCGCGATATACTCTCGACATCCAGTAACCCGGAGGGGTCTACGCTGTGGCACAGAAATCACGAAACCATGAGTTTTGCTAAAGATCGTGGGGAATGTAGATGCGTACACTTCGAGCACTTCGAGAACCCGTCGGGCGTCATACGGTGCCAGGGACGGGCTAGTTGAATCCAATGCATCATCCTCGCCTAGTTCAGAGGCCGATTCATCTTGATCTGCGTTGGCGCATTCGCCCTCCTCCTCTTTAACTTTCCGCTTCTTATCCCTAAGGTCCTTTGACGCACTTATGGACCCCTCCATCGTTTCGCTCACACGCTTTCTTTTCTTGTTGGCCGCGGAGACTTTGTTTCTTGATTGTGGGGAAGAAGGTGTTGGGAAGTTTAGGTTGCTGGTAGGGGAGGCATCTGCAGAGCTGGTGTCTTGGGGTGGAGATGATCCCTCTGTAACGTTACTTTTTGATGTCTTACCCGCACGAACCATTCTCTATAGACGACAAAAAAGTAGTTGGTGGATGAAGGTCAGATGGAATATGAGTTGTGTTGCAAGATGTGTTGTCCGTATTTTTGTGAATGATGCGCCGGGAGAGTTTGAGTTGCGGAAATGCAAAGCCAACTAGGTTGAAAGAGAATGAGAGCGAACGGAGATAGCCTTTATATCCGGTCGCTCCTGCGCCTATCGAACGGTGTGCCCGATCCCAGCGGTGAGGCGACGAAAGATAGCGTTGACGGGTCTAGATGCTTGTTGCAATGTCGGGAATCTTTCTGTATGCGGAAACAGAGTTGGCCTTTTCTCAGTAGGCGGATAGAACGGAGATGTTGATATTTGTTGGCGTCGAGACTCGCTTTCAATTGTGTCATACACTTCCGTCGCCTCTTTGGCTTGAGGACGGGTCAGACATGCCATCTTTTGGAGATACAAGTACACTCGAGAGTGACGCTGGTGGGGTGGAGCACGTCGAGCTATATGAAGCTTATGGTAAGCGCCTCTAATCCTCTGAGTCACTGTTAACACCCTTGTTCAAATCACGACGTATACATTCTAAGACTTCCTTATGAAGTTTGTCATAATCGGTATGCCCTGCGTTGGGAGGTGCAAATAAACTCAAAGAGCACAAGTGTGACATAATATGTGTGCCTCGTTAGGAGAGTCGGGGACGGGGAAATCGTGCTTGCTACATCACTTTGTCCGGAATACTTGTCAGGTTCTCTCGCATTTTCGCCTATAATTCTCACTGACTACACTGGAACACCAATCTTCATTTTCCTAATATCCTGATGATTTGCGACTCTTGGATTATATTTTGCAGTCAGGGAGCAATCTGCGCATACAATTGGTGTCGAATTTGCCAGTCGAATAGTCAAAATTGGTGACAGACGAATAAAGCTTCAGGTGTGTCCCAAAATTCGTCTAGAACTCGAGGGATCTTGGTCAAATGTGCTTCTACTCACAGCTATGGGACACAGCGGGGCAAGAACGCTTTCGATCCGTCACCCGTAGTTACTATCGTGGTGCTGCAGGTGTCATCCTGGTGTTCGACATAACACGGTAATAATCAGTCCTTTCTTCGCCTAGAAACTCGGATGTTGAGTATTCGCCGTTGGCTTCACAGCCGATGTACCTTTAGTCCTCTCCAACGGTGGCTAGATGACGCCCGCGCACTTGCCTCCCCACAGGCTTCTATCGTTCTCGTTGGCGCCAAATGTGATAGGGAAGAAGATCGCGAAGTCAGCTGGGATGAAGCCAGTCGGTGGGCAGCCGAACGTCGTGAGCCACTTTCCCTCCGTCTACTCACCCCACAGTTCATATTCTCAACAGAGCTTCACTATCTCGAGTCCTCCTCTCTCACGGCATATCAAACGACCGCCCCATTCCTACACTTAACTCGTTCCATCCTCCTCTCTATAGAATCTGGTCTGCTCGACCCGTCCTCCCCTGGATCAGGTGTATCTTATGGTGATCGGCATCTCAGGCTACGGAGGGCTCGAAGCGGCTCGACGTGGAGCGATGGTGATGAAAGTGGGAGGTTGAGCGTGTTGCTCATGAGCGAAGAAGGCAGAGGACGTAGAACACTCTGGTTTGGCAGGGGGAGGGGGGGGAAATGTTGTTGAATATCTTATTACCGACTTGAGTTCTTACCTGCGCACTTGCTACCCTCAGTATAGTTGTGGCATCCTCCACATATATATTTGTACCTTCGCTTCATCTAATTTTTCTAACGTTGGAGGCAATAGACTTCACAGAATTCATGGTGGCAGCGAAGCAGCAGTAACACCCCCGTGCTGCTGCTGAGAGCTCAGACGTGGTCATGGTCTCTGACATTGTGGCTGGGGGTCCTTGTGTGGTGTCGGGAATTCCCGGCTGAAAGGTACCGGGACGCACCAAGGTCGGCAACTGCCTTTGCATTTCTCATTAACGTCATGGCGAGGCCACTATGTACCGGAAAGCAAACGGCAGATACGCTCAATCATTTCGCCTTTGTTTATGCTAGACTCTGTTGAGACGTTCGATTCACGCCGGGCACTCGTAGACTAAGATAATTACACTTGGGCTGGAGGTCCGAAACTAGGCAGGTAACTCTGAAACAATGGGGTTTTGACCATGTTCCAAGACCTGGGTTTCGTTTTCGACCACAATTCCATCTATGTTTAAAATACGCTCTGTAGTCACTTCAACTTCCTCACTTCCCTTCTGAGGACTTTCGCTCTTCGTGAATACTTCTCATTTCTTCACACTCGTCCAATATGGAACTCGCCGCTTCGTTCGCGCCCACCAACTCGTACCTTCTTGAAACCGACGAATTGCCTCGCTATCGTTGGCTTGTCACTCTCGAATCCCAGGTCAACCCTACCCTGCAAGCTCCGACCAGCAGTACTCTCATCTCTATTGGATACAACTTCCCCGTAACGCTCTTCACTCTTGTCCTTTCGGACCTGCGTTCTGAGTGCTCCGGTCGCCGCGTTCACTTATGGGAGGAGCGCAGATGTGTCATTACTTACAATCTTACCCCTCGTCGTGGCATAGTTGACGTTCTTGGACTCAAGACCATGGATGATGCTGAGGCCAGGGTGTATATGGATCTTATCATGGGCTTCGTTAACGAGGCTGGATGGGTCTACTGTCCCAATACAATGGATGCTGTCACAAGGGTGAGCAATGCCAGCTGCCTGTAATCCATCTTCAACTCTCAACCGCTTCATGTCTAGTTCAACATTGATATCTCTCAGAACCTGCCCCTTTTGGAAGACAATACCCAATTGTCTCCAGCTTCTACCTATGATGACCTCAGTGTCTTCACCCTTGAGCCCACTTCCCCTACTTGCGAGCCACCACACAACTCCATACTGTCTCATTCGACCGCTCGTCGGACATTCGTAGATCTCAGAATCATCACTTCGCCCTCATCTTGCCCCAGTTCCCCCTCCTCACCTTGTACTGCCTCTTCACTTAGCTCTCAGTTGACAGGCTGGACGACCCCTGAGTTGGAAGGTCCAAAGTCGGATGATATGCTGCGGTCCTTCGATTATACTCCACCAGGAACGCCTATCGCCTGTCCCGTCCCTTTCACGATGCCTGTTCCAGACTTTAATCTCGACCTCAGTCACGTCTATGTCTCAACGGAGGATCTCAGTCTCCACTACTCCATGTCTTCCTCTCCATTTGCGGTTTCGCCTGACCTTGTTGAAACTGAAACTGAGATGCATAAGGAACTTCCCCAAAGGGTTCCTACGCCTATCCCGGTTATCCCCCGGGTCCATCGCAATATCCACAACATCATGAGAATGATGGAGCCTATTCCTGAGCACGAACTCGAATATCCCCCCACCCAACATGTGCCTCCGAGAGCGGCGTTGTTTGAAGAACAAACTCGAGTACTTCCTGCACCTTTTCAGGCTTTGAAAAGAGGAGCAATGTATATTACGAGGATGGCATTTAGGCTTCACTCTCAATTTGATTTCGCCTCGTAGAAAGGTGGCCTGATCGATTCGTTCCTACTGTTTGCTTCTTCCTGATCAGTTTTGCGCATTTCTATGGATGGTTTCGGATATGGAACCCTTCATTTGCCATCGTCGATCTAGCCTGCGATGCATTCTGGGCTGCAACTTGAACACGTAAATACCTTTGGTTTGGGTTCCTATCTTAATATTCGATTTTTTCCGTCTCAACAGGGTGGAGTATTACACCCAACTGCCCAATCAACGGGCTTAGCCTCTGGATCAATCTGCTGGCAATTTGAATGTCAATGGGAATGACGACACTGACGAATCGGAAGGAGCCAAGAGCCTTTGTCAGACATTTGGACCATGTCGTAAATCATGTGAGCAGTTACCCGAGAAGTTCCAAATTACATAAATAAGCGCTGGCACGAGGTAGCTAGCTCTCGCACCGACATCTGATAGGAGGTATCCCCATCCCCCGGGTAAGTAGATCTGATATTTGGCACGCTGAATGCTCGGCTGCTCTCTACGCACCGCACTGGATGGCCAAGAATGGCCAGCATTTATCGACATGAAATAAAGCCCTGGTTACAAGCGTGCATTCTTCGGAATTTTCTTCGCTGCCTGCCTCACCCCCAAATCTCCCAATACATCTTCGGCTCCCCCCAACAACGCGTCGAACCCAATTACACGATGATAATGTTCGATAGCACTTCCAAGACCTGTCATAGTGATGGCTGTTCGACAAAGGATATTAGTGTCAACGTTGCAATTTGAGGGTTGCGTGGTGAAAGAAGTGGATGAGGAACATACCTCGTCCACCAAAGATCTGAGTGGCATCTGCTGCTGTTTCTTGCGCCGTGCGCGTGGCATACATCTTGAGAATTCCTATCGGCTGTGGCAGGAGAGGGCCAAATGTAAATTTATCTATTGGGGTGGAGGCAGGAAGTGATGGAACACACCCCTGCAAGATGCTCTGCTTGCTGTTTATAGTTCTGTTCTGTGCATCAACCCGAGGCTCATAGTCAAGACACTTTGAAGGGTCCAACTCACCATGTTGCACATTTGGAGAGTCAAATTCTCAAGCCAAGCCTGGGCGGATTCAACACGAGCAATGATAGCGGCAATCCTGAAAACAACAATGTACTTGTCCAAATCGAACCCAGACACCCAGCACGCTAAACTGACCTAGATCGAATGACGGGTTGTTCCAATAGAGATTTTCCAAAAGCCTTGCGCTGGTGAGTCCACCTGGAGCATTTTGATCAAAGTGAGAGCCAAAAGGAAGGAATCCAATCAGACGTACTTCAGTACCTCCTCGAGAACGTTCCGTTGCGACCGGACACTGGCGGCAGTCATGATCCATCGTTCATGATTGAAGTTAGACAATACAACAAAAAGCCCGTGATGTTCCTTGCCTGTATCAATTCGGCGAGTAAAAAGGTACGTAAGAATAAGGTGCCGGTAACGTTGAATGACCATCCCCAAATGAATAACGCAAGACTCACCCAAAATATTCTCGACTGGAACCCTGACGTTATCGAATGTAACGTAGGCTGTCCCCGCCGTCGACGAATAGCTCGTCTTGATCAACTTTGTTTCTACACCCTCCCCTCTTGGAATCAATAAGACCGTAATCCCTCCCCCTGCCGTGCCCACTTCCCCCGTTTTGCAAGCCACAGTAAAGTAATCGCAAAACGTCCCGTTGGTAATCCACTTTTTAGTCCCGTTGACAATAAAAAACTTCCCATCCTCAGTCCTCTTCGCCGCGGTTCTCAACCCACCAACGATATCACTCCCAGCAAAAGCCTCACTAATCGCTAAAGAGATGTACTTCTTCCCTCCCAAAACTTCGGGCACAACCTTGGCTTTTAATGACTGCGAACCAAAGTTGAGTAATGGAGGAAGACCAATGACCATTCCTCCAGAGAATCCATCAGCGTATCCCCGTGAAGCGTGCCGCGCGAGTTCTTGAGTGATAATCAGTTCGTGAAAGTAGTCGAACTCTTCGGGCTGGACGATGCCATTCATGAGTGTGCGACCCTTGAGGTGTGGACCGGGGCCAAGTCGCATCGCGAGGATATTAAGTTCCCTATAGAAAACCGTGGAAGATACCTTGAGCATCGAGAAGGAGATGGTGTGGAAATTGGTTTAGGCTACGCACGCTGTCTTATCGATCAAGCTCTGACTGGGAGGTTTCCCATCCTCCTCGTGCATGTGTGCATCCCGGATGACATATTTATCTACAAACGTCCTCATAGCCTTCTGCAGCCTCTTATGTGATTCCTTGAAATGTAGGGAAGTGTACTCAGGGGTGAGCCATGTTGGCTCAGCATAAGGGATTTGTGAAAGGCTTCCAACAGGCGGTTGGATAAATCGTGCTCTTTGATCATGGATTTTTCCGATAATGAGACGCTGATATTGGGGTTTCTGGAGGAGAGAGCCACGGTGAAGGGAGAAGAAGACCTCTGTCACATCTTTCCCAACTGCAAGCGGAGATGTTCAATACATGTGCTCGAGTAACTTCACGCTCTCTGACGTGCATACCTACTTCTTGGTCGTATAAGACCGATTTTCCACCAGGATGAAAATTCACGAAACGAGAGATGTCGTATACGTTGCTGTCGATGACAATCCACTTTTGGCCACAAAATGTAGTACAGTGAGTTCGCACAGCAAACCTACAACTCTGTGGTTCATAGAAGTAAAGTACACGTACCAGGTCTCCTTCTCTATTGTGAGCGGCCACATCAACGAGAGTGTAAGTTTTCAGTGCCTCACCGCCAACCATCTTGCTTGTTTCTAAGCACTAGCAACTGGTTGGGAAATGCCAGATAAACCTCAGAAATGGTATGAAGAGGGGTATTGAAGTGGCTTCAGGAAATCAACTAGCTCTTGGGTGCGGAATAACAGACAACCAGATGCTGTACGTCACAAAGCATCGCCTTCCTTGTCCCGAGATCCGCTTCCAGCCGTCAAGCGGATCCTGGGCGAGTAAGAGCTGCTCCCCATGGTAACACAAACATCACGCGTTAGTGCCGTTACTGCGTTTTTCAGAGAATCTGTCCGATGAAAAGTGAATGGGGTATAGTAATCCACTGTGGGAAGTAAACCTTGGTAAATTACCAAGTTTTCGAAGGTAAAGGACCATTTACTAAGTTTCGGGTGGTAATTGAGGAATGGTAATGTACCAACATGCCTGACGAGGGTTGGTGAGTCGAGTTACTAAGTTTTGCGCTCCGTATTTTACCAGATATCTTATGGTATTCAGCGACGTGATACATAAGTAGGATTTCATGTTACATACACCTGTATTACAGTAAAATGCAATGTAATTAATCATCATCGACGTCAAAAATGGGCCATGCAAGCTCAATACTAGGGTCTACAATCGCCCATCGCAGCGATGCGGTTCCATAACAAAACCGACCACATACTGATGATACCAATGCTAACGCGATAATCTGTGTCATCTCTGAGAGAGAGGTGAAGGATACTGGAGTGAGCGCAGCATTGTCATGAGCTCCGCAATCAGAAACAAGAACGAGTACATGAGTCGTTGGCGCATCGATGCCCAGGAAATTCGAAGTCGGGAGAGTGCATACTAGTATCTCATACAGTTGTCGTAGCAAATTTGCTTGATAAGCGGGTCTTTCGATGGACACGGGGATTTGAATCTACAGCAACCTCATACTGAGTTGCACTCAGTAAAACGTCTGATTAGAGAGCAATCAGACAACTCACCCTAACAAAAGATGCATCGCGATAGTTCTTCCGTCGACTTTGTGCCCAAGAGGCACTTTATCACCTCCACCCGCAATATGTGACTTCCCCCATCGTGGCATGACTTCCGGCAGCCATCTGATAATCTCATGAAACGGTTTGAGATACACAATAGTGAGATTTTACGTCGAAGTGAGGCATCAGGGACATAATCCTTCTTGCACAGGCTCCGGAGGATGTTTGGGGTCCATGAGTGATAGATAGAATACTTCAGAGCTTTTGATGTTCTAGGACAGTGCACTGGTCTGACGCGTTGATAGTTGTGGCGCCTAAGTTAAATTCGGCAACTCCCGAGCACCTAACCTCTTGCCATCTATCCTCCGCACTTTAAACACTGTTGTGTACTTTGCACAAAAACACGCTTCATTAAGGCCTCTTAGCTTGTGATATTGCTCTACTGGTGAGACAACACGCTTTTTATGGAAAATGAACTATGAACATCAGAATTCCAATGTCACTAGCCTCATCTGACGTGCTGTACCACGCATCCTATCATACATCTTTTGCGTGTCTTTTCACGCGTCTTTTTGTCCCTCATCAGACTATCGATGCATTCCCCATCTTATTATGCCTCCAGTTGCTATGGTAAGTGTAGCATACACTCATGGGACTCACCCAATCTGCGGATCTCTCTGTTGCACAGAAAATCAAGATCCCTGATCCGCGAGGCCGAGGAAACTGTAAAAAGTACTCCATAGAAGAGACCCTTGGCATGGAATGAAACGAGTATGTTAACCAACCCCAAGCCTAGACTGACTATGAAAACTTGTGGATCGCTGAAGTCCTAAAGGGGAAAGGCAGAGCAATGCCGACACCCAGGGGTTCAAAGATTTAACCTAGCTATGTTGTCTGTCGCTTACCACTCCCAAAAGTCATAATCCACACACTAACTACTGTTGCTTTTTTACAGAACTTCTCTCTGGTTGCTTGCGTTCGCTCTCATTTCACTCTTACACTGTTATTGCCAACTCATTCAACTTTACCTGACTTGCTACATGCTCTTTCGCATAGAGTGCTTCGACTTTGCTGCTCCCATTCGATCTCTCTTGGTACTGTACTGCTTGTACCTTGCCATTTACACATATTCACTTGTAGCATCACACTTCTGATGACCACGCTTCATGTATACGCATGTATTACCTACCGTTCAAAACATCGTAAATGAGTATTCTCCGACCCATATTGTACCATGCCAAAGATTGTAAAGTACCAACAATGAATCAATAAATGACCAATTACCAATCTGGTAAAAATGGCTGTTTACCACGAAAAACATCGTACATCACCAGAAAAATCGATGTCATTCACCATGTCTGGTCTGGTATCCATTTCTGGTCCATTACTACTTACAAATTGGTACATTACCACTGCTCCAGTGGTGTTTGAGCTCGTATTTTACCAGACGAAAAATGGTATATATTTTCCACTGTGAATCCCCATGGTTTTGCAGGTGGCTATATGAAAGGTTGCTTACTATTTTGGGGACAGTAATGTTCCGTTCCCCCGTTCGCCTCAGGCCTCAGTAGGTCCGTCTAACCATAAGCTTTAATGAGCTGTATATTCAACGGGGTAGAGGTAAAAGGCTACCGGGCCTTTACAACTACTCCGAGGTATATATATGTAATTTACATATCTCGGCGCAAATAAATAAAGAAATAATAGCATCACTATAATGGGAATTATAGCGATGCAACATAATGATATCACTATAATCGGAATTATAGTGAAGTAAGGTTAATCCCTTACACTATATCCCGTTTGGGGGGAATGCATGTGGTCGCGTGATATAGGAGTGATGGGGTATGAATGTGGTCAAACGGGGGTGGCACTGCCACCACCCACTACACCTGACCTCCATAGACCTTGCGCAGATTACACCGTTTGGGTTATTGAGGGATGCGGCCTGGGCCCCACTGTCTCTGCCGACACACACGATTCAGATCCAGGGACATTTTGTTCACATGCCGATTATTTACATTGAAACCCTGACCGTACTTACAATACAAATAGCGGCTCTGATCGCGGCCTGCTCGATGTTCCGGAGCACCACTTAGAGCTCTTGCACACTGTGTTGGACCAGCGAACAAGTCAAATGGGGTGCTAAAGGGGAAATCAGCCTGTAGTTGGTTGCAGATGGGTGTAGATGTGTAGCATTGAGGAAAGAGTCAGAATGTCCAATTTTCTGTTTGAATTCTGTGTCTGCTACCTGATACAAGGTTGCAATGTAGAGGATGGGTTGAATGGGGTAAAGGCTGGTGAAACAGCATAGATACAAATTCCTCTCTTCAGGCTTGTTGCTAGATCAAAATTGATAGTTTGGATGCAAATTTGAGGAAAATTTTCCGTTCCCCCCAAACCAAAAATCACTGGTAGAACAAGAAATCCCCCAAGAATGCCTTCCCTCCTGCAGAAAGCATCTTCAAATGCATTTGACTCATCCATTCTGACCCTTCAGGCCACTTTCTCCAGTGGCATGACCTTGTTGACTACGGCTTCCACTGCCAACAACTTCCTCAGAGCTACAGATGGCCCATTTGCAGAGTTGAAAGAGCTTATTGCACAACATACTTCCACCGAAGACAGGCCACAATTCCAACCACTTGTCCCCCCCGATCAAATTGTGAAGGGAATTGTGCAGAAAATATGGGGTCATTCATCTATTGAGACAGTCAGAGATATTGGAGATATACTAGAGAAGGGACTCGTTACAGATGATTTGAGCTTTGAAGGTGCGTTGGTGTCTCTGTTGCTTACACTGTTTAGAAATACTCAAAGACCCCCTGCAGTTTTTTTAGAAGTTTGCATTGCCAGCTATGCACAGAAAAAGGGGAAGTCCCCCCAAGAAGTTATGAAGAGGTTCCGTTTACACAATCCCACTGAAGCGGGCCAAACAGCTTGGCAAACATGGCTTAAGCTTCACCGTAAGTTAACCACATACTTGCAAGATATTAGGGACTAATCATTTCCTAGCTGGAATTGACAGTCAAGAAGCAGCATGCCTGTGTAAATTACAGCAACAGGATATCGATAAGAAGTACCCTGACCAGGCAGAAGAAGCAAAAGCATTCTATGATAAAATTCTGATACATTGCAGGGACCTTGTTCTATCGAAGGATGAGAGGGAGGCTCAACCAAATGAAGGCCTTTATCTGTTGTAGAAAATAATGGGAAAATACACTGCTCAGGTATAGTATAGAATCCAGTAACTATCAATCAATTGTACTGAAAATTTTGCTGATAGCTCACTGCACTCAACTCCATTCATCCTGTTGGGGTGGTGTTAGTGGGGTTCATAGCAGATGACAAGCTTGCCCCTTGGGATTCAACTATCGCATTTACGAGCTCACCAATGATTGCGGAAATGGTCAAAGCTATGGGCCTACCCCTCACAGAGGATAGTGCCTTAGCCATGAGGAACTTCTACATCGGGATAAAGGCATTCAGGTACAAGGTTTATGCAGGAAAGGCACAAATAACTTACTCATATCCTTCCAGCCCATATCAACCTGACACCATTAAACAGAGGTATGAGCAATTTGTCTCCTAGCCCGCATTGGCTGAAATAGGCACAGAACCTTTCTTCAACATCTTGGGGCATTTACAAACCCCGATAAATCTACCAGCGAGGTATTTGGTGCCTCAAGCCTCATGAAGACCGTCGTGATGCACATGAAGCAAAGTGTCCATTTCAGCGATGATCTGGACAGGTATTTGGGAAATGGAACAGGAAACATGGCCATCAAATCAGAGGTTGAGGGCAATGTGAACGACGTGGATTACCACACACCCGCATTAAAAAGGAAGGAAGGCCTCACCTTTGCAGACGAGACCTATGGCTTGCATCCCCAACACCACACTGAGTGTGCTGGGCAGCTTAAAGCAATCATTTGTATGTCCTTTTGCCGTGCTGTCTGATTGTTCATCTGACATCTACTTGTAGTGGAGGCAACAGGGATAACTGAGCTTGGGTGCAACTGGAGAGTTGCCAACATACTTTCATTCATGCTTGAGCATCGTCTCTGTTTTGTTGGTTGGCATCGTGGTGTCCTATGCTTGAACAAGTCACTACCATGCAATTGGACCCCATGCAAGTCTGCACAGTGTATAATGCAGCTCACTCACCAGGATCCGGAGCAGACGTTGAGGGTGGAACAAATGACAGATGGTAAGGAAAATGTCAATGAAACTTCAAAAAAAACACAACTCACCGGTTTGGGCTTACCAGATGAGTACCTGAAGCATGAGGTGCTACACTATGCACCAGATGTGAAAGAGAATATTATGAAATACGTTGTCAGGGCAATAGCCCTGAACCCCGAGTCATATGTAAATTAGATACATATAGTCATGTGGGTAAGCGGGAACCTCCAGGTAACTGCTTACACACCACCGTAAAATACACATACTTGTATCACTTACGGCTTTGTGTGCTGAGCTACCCAAAGACCTCACATACGTATTGCCTGAACATGAGACAAGGAGGGCAATTGCAAAGACAGCGGTCATCCCCACATGAACCCAAAAACGTAAGGAAAGCATGCCAAACCCCCCAACTGTGGAGATGGAAGGAGATTTGGTTGGTGATAATCAAATATCATCCCCATCTTCCAAGTGATGCAAGAAGTCCAAAGCCACTCACACACGCACCCTCATGAAGGCAAAACCTCCCTGTGTGACACCTGGGGGCCACAACCAAATGAAAGAAGCTGCAGTACCAGAGAACGAGGTGAAAGGTCCACAGGATGATGGCATCGTACCTGAGACACCACCTCGCAACTCACCTGAACCGGGCGGGTCTTCATCATCAGTAAAGTTAGAGGCAATGAACCTGACAACGTTCCCATCGGGTGTATGCTCAGGCTTCCAGCAAGGATGTGGGCCGCAACTCCCTGATGACCCAGAAAATGACGTCTTCATGGAGCAAGCCGTTCCGGAATCACATACACCAATGGTCATCCCTCCAATTAGGCTCATCCATCCAACACTGCGTAGTACTCCCCTCAAAGTTCAACCAGTGTTAAAGATTAATGGAAGTACGCACCTCACTGTGAATGAAGGTCCAACATCCCAGGCACTGTCAGAGGCACCATCATCCATATCAAGCCTAAGCGGTGAGCCTCCCACCTTTGACACCTTGTTCAGGTGTGCATGAAACTCAGTGTGGTGGGCTGCATCGAAAATGTTGCCAGCGGTTTGTTTGAAGGTGCTCATGGAAGAAAACGTTGAACTCCTAGTCAACATCGACATCATTGCCCTGCACGTTACCGAGAAGGAGCCACCTCCTGAAGTCTTAGATGTTGCTCAACACTGGAGAATGATTAGCACTGTTGGAAACGAGCTTCGTGACAGGGGGGCTGATGTAGGAAAGGTTGCCAGGAGGGTGGTTGTCAGGGCACACACCCTGACTAGCCCGGACCCGGACCCGCGTCCGGACCTGCTTCTACCCGCTGCGCTTCCCGCATGCACGCACGCTCCGCGTGCCGCATGCTCCGGACCCGGTTTCTACCCCTTCATGTGACTTCCGGGTATCCCCGGAAGTTTTGCTGATATTGTGGCCACTGTGGGAAGATGAGAAGTTAGCTTCCTTCTCATCTCCTTACCCACAGTAGGCAAGTGTATATACTTGCCCTTGTTTTATCTCATCTCCTTACCCACAGTAGTTGTTGCCCTGGACAGGGCTGTTCATAGGTCAGGCTGTGGACCATAGGGGAGGGTCATGGGGACCCGGGAGTCGTCCCCTGACAGTGGTCCAACTGCTTGATGAGTTGGAAGTGAACGATGACGAGGATGTGATAGCTACATGGATACAGATGTTGCCCAGTTGAGTGACCCAAACATCACAACCAATCATTGGAAGGATACGTAGGTATCTTACAATGAAAATATTGCATGCATCATTATTAAACCTATGGGCTGGGCACAAGTGCAAGGCATAAGCTCAGCAAATGTAAAATACATTGGGAAGTTATATGCTACAAATTATTCTAGAGTATATACAAAGTGAACGGAAAACAGTCACAGACAGCTACTGCATGATGTCATGCACCTCTCTGACTACTAGCCGCTTAACTCTTCTGGAGTCGGCTTGTTTGGGGGAGCAGGAGGACTCTCTGCAACTTTGTGTTAGAATGGGGCGGAAACGGACGACTCCGGAGTGGAATCGGAGACTTAGCGTGGAGGGACCTTGGCCTCAGCGACTCAAGCGGAGCGCTGTGCCATTGCTGTTTGTCCATTTGGTCCTTAATTTCACAGTAGGTGAGCAGGAAGTCTCTAGGGGGCATTTCAGGTCGATTTCGGACTGAAACTGAGACGAGTATGTACAAGCGCCGATATATATATAATGGAAGGGGCAAAAGCACAAAGAGAACAAAGGGTGACCGAATCGGAACGAAGACGTCCGAACGGGAACAAAGGGTAGAGGGAGCGGAGCGGTACCGAAGGTCATAGGGCAAGACCTGTGATACGTCCGAAAGGAGGTAGGGAGGGCGAGGCCCAGAGGGGCAGGAGGATGAGGGGAAGTGGGGATGAGGGGAAGTGGGGATGAGGGGAAGTGGGGATGAGGGGAAGTGGGGATGAGGGGAAGTGGGGATGAGGGGAAGTGGGGATGAGGGGAAGTGGGGATGAGGGGAAGTGGGGATGAGGGGAAGTGGGGATGAGGGGAAGTGGGGATGAGGGGAAGTGGGGATGAGGGGAAGTGGGGATGAGGGGAAGTGGGGATGAGGGGAAGTGGGGATGAGGGGAAGTGGGGATGAGGGGAAGTGGGGATGAGGGGAAGTGGGGATGAGGGGAAGTGGGGATGAGGGGAAGTGGGGATGAGGGGAAGTGGGGATGAGGGGAAGTGGGGATGAGGGGAAGTGGGGATGAGGGAAGTGGGGATGAGGGGAAGTGGGGATGATGACCAACTGGCTAGAATAGAAAGAAGCAGTAGTCCAAATAGGGATGAAGGGAAAACGTGAGAAATACATTACAGGCAGTGAGAGTGCCGAAGGCAGTCCGCGAAGCTCGGGGGTTGCGGAGCTTATGGAGGTTACGGAGGCGGGGTTGGAAGTCCGAGGAATATTGGCAATGGTGTTGACGTAGTATGAGGTCACCAATGCAATGGACTAAGGCCGAGGTGGAGTCAAAGTCCGAGGTAGGGACTATGATGGAGGCTCGGTGTAAGGTACGAGCGGTGTCCGAGTGCGAAGTACGGAACAGCGGTGGAAGGTCGTAACTTGGCGGAAGGGTGGCGGAGGAGTAGCGGAGGGAGGAGAGAGGGGACAGGTAAGGGGAGAAGGGGTGGCGGAAAGGAGAGTAGTCAGGTCCGAAGGTGAGTATCGGAGCGGACGGGGGAAGCGTAGGAGGATAACGGGAGGGTGGAGGTGTTGTGAAGGGGGAGCGGAGTAGTAGGAGGGTGGCGAGTGGGGTGATGTTCGGTCCGGGATGAGTATCGGAGCGGACGGAGATAGGGTCGGAGAGGTAAGGGGGAGGTGTGTTTGCCAGGACCGAAGGTGAGTATCGGAACGGCAACGGTAGGTTATGACTCTGGAGGTGAAGAGGGTGGAGGTCCGGAAGTCGGGTCGGGGTCGGGTATGCACGGATATGACACTTTGAGCGCAAAAAGACCAGTTTTTGGCTGCCAGCGAATGGACTCAAACTCTTCTTGAGGTGGGTTTCCTGATCTCTTCAACATCTCGGTTGATCGGAATTTGATGCCCTCGAAAAGCTGCCTCCCAGAATCGGCAATGAAATGGACAACACAAGGGTAAATAGAGTCTTCATCAGGGTAGATCCGCTGGTGGAATGCGCGTTTGAAGCAGTGAAGGCAACAGAGAATGAGACAAAAATGAAGGAGGCCAAAGTACTCTTCTTTGCTTAACTCAAATGGCCTATGCAGGCATATTTTTTTGAGCACTTTGCATTTGAAGGTCACCTCCACCATATTGAATGGCATATGCCCTCGGCTGGTTGTCATCATCATAATCCGGAAGTGATTGTATTCAAAGAGATCCTGTGAATACATGTGCATCCATAGCTCTGTTGCTTCGGATGGTAATGTGTCTGGGCCCTGAGGGATGAGTGGAGCTGGTGCATGATCCAGTAGGGTTTTGATTGTAGTTTTGTCAAATCCATGAGAAAAGACTTCACCAGTATATCCAAGCTCATAGATGCCAATGTACCCGCTTGGGGTATAATCCTGCATATTGATATCTCTGAAAAGGGCATCAGGGAATCTTGCTTGGAGGTACCGCTTAAGGCTTTGAGCTTCCTCCTGTGTCTTGCAGAGTAGGTTAAGACAGTGCATTGAACCATCCCACCTGTCCACTTTCTGATTCACTGTGCAGTCACGCACTGCTCGGTAGGCAAGAACGCCCTGCTGCTTGACCGCTTCCAAGTCATGATGTAGCTCCAGCGTAGGGCTTGACAGGCATATGGATATGCCTAGCCATGTGTCAGTGGCGGTGACAGAGCCGGCCTCAGACAACGAAATAGCACTGGACATGCCAGTAAAGGGTATGGACTGATTCAACAATGGAAGGGGATGTTGAGGTTGGTAGTACGAGAAAGGGATTTTGATAAATGCTGCCATCAGTGGAGCATGTGCACTGATGGGGAATGGTACTCTCATTTTCTTCCATTTGGCCCCTTCCAAGGCCGCACTCAAATGCAGGCCCTCCTCGTATTTTAAATCCAGCCAGACTCCTTGAAGCACACCCTTCATTAAGGTAGAGAGGTTTTTGAACGGAGTAGGATCCCCCTCAGGGGCAAGCGCTTTCAGACATTGTTCCATGGCAAAGCACTGAGTAGGGGGATCATCTTGTAGAGCTGCAAGCAGGAATTGCTGTGGGCAGGAACATGTAACAGTTTCCGTAACAACAAAGTCGAATCCCACAGTGATATCCCCCTTCATGATGCCGTTCAAAGCCGTGGCCTGAGCACGGCTCCATATCTCCTGTTGAAGAGCATGTTCTGCTGCATGATCATGCAACGGTGAACATGATCAACAGACTGCAAAGTGTTTTTCACCATATTCCACCCTCCAATGAGGAACTCCCCACTGTTCCAGAGTGAGGGCAAAAGCCTGAGCAGAAGCACTGAGGGTGTGTCAGGGCACACCCGCCTGACCCGGCCCCACCCGGCCCCACTTCACCCGGTACCCCGCCACCCAGCCTTCCCCTACCTCCTCCCCCCTCGTCTTTCTTTCCTTCTTTCTCCATTCCACTCCCTCTTTACTTATCTCACCTTCTCTTTATTTTCTCTTTATTCTACACAGACGACCTTTCCTTGTATCAATGTACCATTGACCCACCCACAGCGCGCTCACGACACGCCCAGCCCAGGCGCCTCGGGCGACCCCCGCTATCTCCAGCTCGCGCGTTCACAGCGGACGCCCTCGGGATCCCCCACAGGGACACCCGGGTGACTACGGCTGTATGCGAGGATGACGTGGCACCCGTCATGTGACCTAAGCCGCATGTATATAAACATACCTGAAGTGGGAACCGAAGAAGTAGCCTTCTTCTCACCCTTTCCCACTTCAGGTAAGCAACATAGTATTCCCTTTTAATAATAATAACACCCTTTCCCACTTCAGTCTAAGTGGCCAGGGACTGCCTCCTGAGCCGGGCCTGCCAGTACGCACGCCTGCTCCACACCCCGCGAGACTTCCAGTGTCGGGCGTCTCACCCGGGCCCCCTCTACCCCAGACGCGTCCCTGACAGCAGAAGAAGGCTTCAACCTTGTCTCCCCTATCCCCCCTCCCTCCCCTGCCATGGTAACCGAAGAGCAGTACGATGACCTGCTGGCCCGGTTCCAAGAACTACAGGCCATCATCGAAAACCAGGTCTTGAACCAGCCGGCACCCGCCCCCTTGCCCGCACCTACACCTGCCCCTGCACCCCCACCCATGCCCAGACCCAAGGGGCCTAAGGTTGCCCCCCCCACTGCCTTCTCCGGAGCCAGCGAGGACCTTGACCGTTTCAAGGCCGAATGTGGCATCTATTTCCACGTCCGCGCGGCCGAGTTCCCCACCCCCCTCTCTCAGATCCTCTTCGTGTTGTCCTACATGAAGGGGGGGACCGCAGGAGCGTGGGTGACCCAGCATACCATCGCGCTGCTAACGGCAAACTCCCCCA